GAAAGCGTTTGCTATTTAATAAATTTTTGCCACATCTGAGACACTCAAGTTTGAAAAGTTTGTCCAAGGCCAAGGGATAAATTGAACAGTGTATTCCGCAATAAGAAAACTTTTATTAACGATTTTCCTTCCATACAAGCGTATTAAAACAATGTTACAAGACAAGAAGTATAAATAGTATATTACCACAGTCACAGATATGTCAACAGTTGAATATATGTTGACAATTTTCGCTCGTTCCTTTTCGTGTTATATTTTCGACTAAATCATTGCACTTTCCGCTTATTATCATATAAAATGTAGTCGACAATTTGAGTGGAAATATGTATATATCAACGATAAACTTTCACTTAAAACCCTGTCTTGACATGAATCGACGGCAACGTGAATATTTGACTGCTCTGAAAAATCACTCGTTGTCTCTAAATAATCCCATTAAATCGCCGTTTCGGGTGACGATAACGTTATCAGCTCCTTATTCAAAGTTCCCTGTGTATATACAATGTTAAAAAGTAGGATTATTCGTTAATTTTACAGTTTTACTCGTCTTTTAAGCCATCGTGTTGAAAACAAAAATTTCTTCACTCCTTGCCGCAAGCCCTTCCTACTCCCCCTAAGTTTGAGTTTGTCGAAATTTGCATGCGCGAGCCGGTATGCGCAGTGCAAATTTTTGTGTCGATTTATGGCAGGCATCTCACCAAACTTTTTCTCACCACCCGATTCCTCAGTGAGATGCCTGCGGAGGAGGTTAGAGTGAAGTATCGATCAAATAACTTTTTTACGAGAACATTATCCAAGATACCAGTAACGATTAAATATATGAGGTGTGATATCTACCACAGGGACCGCGGAACAAGGGGGTGGGGGGGGGGGAGGGGGGTGGTGGTCATGGCCACCCTCTTTTTCGGTGGATAATAAAAAAATACCCGGTAAAATCCAGCTTGCCAGCGTGGAATAGCTCCCATGCTATCCTGCCCCTCCCCCCTCCACTTTTAAACAGGCTCCGCTGTCCCTGCACCAAAAACGTACATTCGAGGCCATAGATCGCGGAATGTTGGATATGTCAGTAAACGTAAACGTCGCTGCTTCTTATATCCAAGGTGTTTACCTGAATTTAATTAATAATATTTTTTGCAAAATAAAGAAAGGTGGTCTTCCAATAGGCCGTATGACTATATAGCTTAAATAAGTAATAAAGTATGTTTGCACAAACAATATATAAAACAAATGATAAATTAAGAAACTATGTTAAAAATAATTAGCAAAGTTATTTTTTTGAGATCAATTCACGGATTTTGTTTATAGTTCCCCTGTAGCTTAAAGATTTTTTCTTAAAATTTGTGTTTGGAACAGGTGAAAGAAGTCATGCCTTGACTATCTAGTGTGGTAGGCGTGAACTTGGTCAATACATACTGTAGGGTGTCAATAGAGTAGAGCCTTGCTGTTTAACCATCGACAAGGTAAAACCTCAACTTTGTCCAAATTCGGAGCCATTTTGTCATCCCATGTCGGTTATCAACAACTCGGCCTTGTTATTCTTCCATCCAAGGCATCTCCATTACACAAATAACGAATTTAACCCTTTGTTAAGGGTATTAAAATACCATTGCGAAATGCAGCATTTTATCACCCGATAAGATGTTGCTTACGAGTCTTTCAAAACATTCCGTACAAATCTCGCGTGGCAAAGTAACAGGACGTGACAGGCGGGTGGAGACTTCAAAAATAAAAGCAAAGACACGCAGTACAATGGTAAAACCAACAATCAACATTTAATTTGTATCACATGTGTGATGATTGAGAATCTAATTAGCTATTCGCAATAGTTTATATTAACTCCATCATATGTATAAATAGCAGTGGGCGTGAACAATGGGGAATTTCGTTCTCGACCAATCAGCGCTTTTGTTTACATTTTTGCCCTAAGCCAATCAGAATGCGTAAAACGCTTCATCACTTGAAATTTGTTAACAAACGTATGGGAGTTACTTTAGAGCTTTTCTGCAAGCGGTTTTTTGTTTTTTTTCCATGAAATTGATATATGTTCTTCTTAAAGGAATTCTCCTCAAGTTTCTCGTGGCGATTTTTGATTAATTGCGTAATTGCGAAGATATGGGTCTTCAAACTTTGCCTTGCGCAAGTTTAAATACCACCCCTCGAATTTGTAGGTTCCGAACGGATTAGTGTTTTTAAAAGCCTTTCAAATCGAGGTTTGAGAGGTTTTATTTTTTAAAAGATACTTTTATCTTTACATTTTCACATTAACTTATTAATATCCTGTGTAACAACTAAACAGGACACTTCCGGGCCTGGACAAGTTGACATGTCGATTTCTTGCTAAACAGCGTACCGATCAACATGGTTCGTATCTAAATACAGGGAATTTTTAAAATTGTGTTGTTATAAATGGGCTAAAGAAACTCATCAAATATTTGGACTATGGACCTTCAAACTTATGCCAAGTATTTATTTAATTCATTAGCTCAATAACTGTTTTTAGGCTCGTTTTTTGTCGATTTCGACATTTTGTCGACTTCAGAATAATGTGTCAACATTGCGTGTTGCAGCCTGTGGACATGAATATTTTCGTTTGTTTGACCATAACACTTGTCTTCATTGTTTTTAATCCTTGAATGACAATATATTCATTGGTCTCAGAGTCCTAAACTTAAGGAAGATGGATAACTTTGGGACAGATATCGAAATTTTGTTCTGATATCAAAATTTATGGACATATAGTCATGGCATAGCCATAGGACCCTCATTTGTTTCATCCTTAATCTGGCCCACTAGTCACAAATGGGGTCTGTTCTTATGACCTAGCTGGGCAGGAGACAACATTTGCCAGTATTGTCGATATACTATCCTGCTACTATCCTGGCTAAGCACGAGGTATCCGTTGCCAGAATGCCAACTATGCAAGCCAAGAAATTCACCATTTACAGTAAACATTCTATCCCACAACTCGGCAACATGAACTTTCCTTTAGGGTCCCATATCAACAGACCCTTAACAGATCCTGAAACTACAATTGGAACATTTTAGGCCATAATCTAGCTTGTAGAATCAACCAGGTATTGTCAGTAGTATAATATCACACCGGGCTAGCTGGTCATGTCCAATTATATGGGCTAATTATACACCTGCTCATGATCATGGTAAGATACTGCCTCGTATATTAATTTTATATATGTTTGAGATTGCATTCACATGGAACAGCCTGGTTAAATTTATTGGCCCAACATCTGCTTGAGCAAGTTGATATCCTACATTGGGAGTCTCACACTAATAAAGGTCATAAGATGGCCAACCGACCAGCTCACTCGACTAAAAATCATGTTAACGTTATAATACACAATTTGGCCCAAGTAAGTAAGAAATTGTTTAATATAAGCCTTCTGAAGCTCTTGTCATTAACAAATTAACCAGCATTTCACACAAATTTCTTGCCAACACTTGCCAGGTTAGCCTGACTCCTGTGAGGCAAATGACAAATTAAACTAGCCCTGAAACTGCCTCGTACCCAGGTGCTTTAAATAAGTATACATGAAGTATTCAGGCATGCGACGCGGGAAGGGGCTGTCAAGTATGGTTTAATTGCACTCTTCCCATTAGCCCCTTCGCCCATCTCTCCCCACTACCATACTTCATGTAAACTCATCATATGCGCATCACTGTTTTTTTACAAAGAGACGCTTGGGTACGAGGCAGCCTTAAGAGGGAGAGCTTATTTTTGGAAGGGAAATCTGATTTTTGGAAGGGAGGACTATTTGTAAGGTTACTGGGGGCTTAATATTGGATTGCATTATTATATAATATGTGCAAAAAAAAGAGGGATCCCCAGGGCCTCAAAAAACGTTTATTATAGACAATATGAGAAAGCCAAGACTGCATATAGGAAGGCACAACGTAGGGCTGTTTGGGAATATGAAAGGAAAGAATTCGATGATATAGCCAATTCTATAGAGTTAGATCACGAGACGTTTTGGAAACTGATTAAAACCAAAGTACGTAGGAAAAACAAAAAACAAAAGGTGGTGGCTTTGGAGGTGGATAATGCCGTGCTTACGAACCCCCAAGTACTCGCAGATCTATGGGCAAGCTATTACGAGAAGTTAGCTACCCTCCGGAAAATGTGGACCAAGAAGAGATGAAAAGTAAAGTTGATGAAATTTTAAAGAACTCGGAGGGCATGTATGACTATACATTTCATTCTTCTATAACAGCGGAGGAAATCACTTCAGTAATTAATACTCTTCCTGAGGTAAAATCACCTGGTATAGATGGAATGACATATGAACATATTAAATATGTAGGTGAAATTATCCTAGAACTGCCACTGAAATTGTTTAGTTATATTATCGAGCTTGAAGAGATTCCAAAATCCTTCAAAATGGCGATTAAGATCCCTATTCTTAAAGGCAATAAAACTTCACGAACATTTAACGATCACAGAGAAATCAGTTTGTTGCCTTGCATAAATAAAATGCTGGAGAGAATTGTATTATCACGACCGCAGAAGGAAGAAAAGTACTCTCACCAACCTCTCCAGGGTGGATACCAAAGAGAACAGGACGCTCTAACAACGTGTTTCGTCATAGATGAAGTATTAAATCATTGTCGCGAAGAAACAGAAAAAGAAAAAGAAAAAGAAAAAGTTTACGTAGCGTATATGGATATTATAAAAGCGTTTGATACCATGTGGATTTATGCAATGTTATTTAAGCTGCAATACAACAAAGGAATTGCGGAGAAAACATGGAGGCTTATTAAAAATTGGTATATAGACATGAAAGAGTTTGTGTTTATAGGAGAAAAAGCATCACGTACTTACAATCTTTATCAGGGTACACAAATCTGAACAGATTTGAAATTGGTCTCAATTTCGTAAAACACCTATTTGTATCCGGTTTTTTATATATATAGCTTCTTTGGGTACTTATAATGTAGAATAATGAAAAAAAATTCTTGAACTCAAATTTTGTGAACCAGGGGGGTGTGTCTTTTCCAACAAATTAAAAATGGCTCGCGCACAAAATTTTAAGTTGTAATCATATTTTGAATTAATAGATGGAAAATTGGTCGGGTTTTTAATTACTGTACAAAATTTCAGGCAATTTGGTTTAGTTTAAGCCCTTTAACTATTCACGCAAAGTTACATTTTTCCTAAAAATCAGCTATTTGCATGCTTAATTAATGCCTTTGCCTAATTTGCATATGTTAGCAATATGCAAATTAGATAAACGCATTAATTAAGCATGCGAAAGGCTGATTTTTTAAAATAAAATGAACAGTTAAAGGGCTTAAACTCAACCAAATTGTCTGAAATTTTGTACAGTAATTAAAAACCCGACAAAGTTTCCATCTATTAACTCAAAATATGATTATAACTTTTAAATTTTGTGCGCGAGCCGTTTTTAGTTTGTTGGAAAAGACACACCCCCCTGGTTCACAAAATTTGAGTTTGAGAATTTTTTTTCATTAATCTACATTATAAGTACCCAAAGAAGCTATATATATAAAAAACCGGATGCAAATAGGTGTTTTGCGAAATTGAGAGCAATTTCAAATCTGTTCAGTTTTTTTTTATACACCCTGTATAGATACCCACATAGTGATCTTGAAGCATTCATGGCATTCTTAAATGAAACAATTGATAAAATTAATAGAGAAAAGAAATACTGCATTATAATGGGTGATTTCAATTTGAATCTCTTAAATATAGATTCACATCCAGGTACCAATGAGTTTTTAAACACGATGGGATCTTACTTATTTAACTCTCATATCTTGAAGCCTACTAGAATAACTCATCACTCAGCTACTTTAAATGATAATATATTCTTTAATTCAGTTCCTCATCATACTGTTAGTGGCAACATAGTTTATGATTTAATTGACCATCTTCCAAATTTTCTGATCATCAATATATTTACAACCTTACCAAAAGGCTTTAAATTATTTAAAAGAGATTATTCCAATTTTAATGAACAATATTTTGTTCAAGATATGCAATCTACCAATTGGAACTTAGAATCATCCAATAATAATGTAGCCTAAATGAAATGTTTGACACATTTAAGGGACCGGTCATAAAGTAACTGCTAGGGTGGGCTGGAGGTAAATCACAAATTTTGCCAATAAGTTTGGTGACCCATCTTAGGATGTAGATAAAAATTTCAATTTTTCTTACCAAATTTATTTCATGACCCACCCACCCAATCTAAGTTGGGAAGTACAGTATTTTATAAAAAAAAACTTGCAGGTGTATAAAACATTGTAAATATACACTGGCACTTTATAAACATACATATTAAATTCCACCGAGCTAGACCAACACTTACTCATCACCAATACTGAGCTGCTCTCCAGTTGGTTGTGTTTGCAGTTATTCGACCACTTCTTGTTGTTGTAAACAAAGTACTGATTTCAATAGCATCATTTGCTGTTTCTTGTTCTTCACTACCAGATGATGAATCAGAAAGATAAGTATCTGCTAAAACTATGTCATTTGCACTATCCCCAGACTCAAGTTCAGAGTTAGTTTCCGATTCTGTGTCACATGGTTGATCTGAATTTAGTTCATCTTGATCCATATCTATCAATGGCTGATCTTTATTACCTGCATCTAGCTCCACATGTGTTGTAGCAATATGTCTCTGAATTATACGTACTTTCTCTGCTTTCTTTAATTTCAATTTGCCCTGCAGTTTATAATTAGATAAGTATTTGTCCAGAACATTTACTTTGAGTTTTGACAACAAACCTTTCTCAAATAATTCCAACCAATTATATTCTAAAAATGTTTTCTGCTGTTCTTGCTCTGACAATTTTTTTCTGTTCTCTGCTCTTTTCTTTCTTTTAATCTCCAAATCAGTTAGATGTTCAATATATTTTCTCAATCTCGTTTTCTCAACAATAAACTTTTTTGAAAATGTGTCCAGCTGTTCCTCACTTTCTAGCTTTTTTTTTTTCATTTGGTCAGCTGCTTGTTTTCTGGGCTGGAAATCATCAATTGCCCTAGCTTCACCATCAACTTCAGTTGGGGTGCTATTAACATCCAAATAGTGAAATCCAAAGATTAACATTGCGTAATCTGGGTAAGGTTTTGGAACCTTACAACAAGGAGGTCCAACCCAAGTATTTGTAGCACAAATTTGACAATGCTCACAAGTACATTTGACATACTCCATGTATTTCTCTCCAACTTCAACATGCTGGTCAAAGAAAGTTTTCAGCATAGTGAAATAATTCCAACCAGGGCATTGTTTTTTATTTCCCTTTATATCTGTGGTAGATAAGAAGGCTTTCAAATGATCGTGATTGTTAAAAAACAAATCCTCTGAATCTTGCGAAGTATATGCTTTCATGAATCCCCCAGGAGCAGTTGCCCCATCTATTCGGTAAGTAAGTTCCTCACATACCTTGAAAGCATTGTATTTCATTCTATCATGTTCGCTTTTCTCCAGTTCATCAAAACTCATGGCAGAAATTTGTTCTTCTGTTAGTCCCTCATATGATGATTTGTATTCCCAAATCAAAGCCCCACCATCACATATGGCATCACCAACGTAACTCTGACAGCGTTCAACCTCATTTTGGCTGCTATCACCATTGGCCAAATGGTGTCTGATATAATAATCAATGCCAGTCAGTAGAATGATTTCAGCACAACGAACTTTCACATCATAATTTGTTATGCCTACACCTGGACCAGCGTCAGTAAACTTATGAATTCTAGACTTGAATTCAGGTAGACATTCAGCTAGATTTGTCACATTTTGCCTGCATGATTTGAGAAGGGCTTCCATGGCATTCCAAATAACAGAATGGTGACAATCAGACTGCAATTTCCCCAACAATTCTGTGGATGAATTAACCAGTTCAGCAAGAGTGTTCATGTCTACATCCAAATAGTTATTAGGCTCTTCTTCAACAGTATCTTGGAAAGATGTCAATATACGAACAAGACTTGTAGCTCTAAGGATTTCGTATTGGCGATGAGCACAACTGAGGTTTGGTGATATGTTCAAAACATCAGACTTGTTAGACATGAGGCAATACAACTTTAACTGATCAACAAGCTTTGTAAGTGATGCCGTGGATGATTTGAGTTCACTTTCATCTACAACAAAAAGTACTGGCTCTTTATAGCGTAGTCTCATGTATTCCGAAGCCCACACAGAACCATTACTCCCAACAAAATTCTTTGGCCTATTGAATACTACAACTTCAGTATCTGTCATCTTTAGTTGATCTTTTGAACCCATCTCTTTATTAATTTCATAATTCATGATCCGGTTTACACCTGGAGTGGCATTTACTAGGCGCTCTGGAAAATCATACTTTGGCAATACCCTTTGCTTTGAAGGATCCGATGGTTGAATAATCTTCACATTTCGAGCGCTCTGCATACCAGTGCCAGTTCCAGGACATATATAAGCTTTATCATCCCTTGATATGAATAGATTGTACTTCCTCTTCTCTTCATCATCTTCACCACATCGTTCCATTAGTATTGCTTTCTTGAAGGCACGTTGGTGATGTGTGAGAATGTTCTCATTATCTTCTAGCTTGGGTGGCTTCTTAGAACAAAACAATCCCAGTCCAAGGTGTTTTTTTGCTTGCAGTGATCTGCGATTTCTTGGACGCGCTCGATTAAATACAGTTGTAGAAGATTTTATAGGCTTCAGACCACGTGAAATTCTACTGGTGTTGGCTAGTCTTAAGAAATCCTTCTTTTTGACTCTATGATTCAAATACATCACACTGTCATGTCGACGTCCATGTGCTGTGGCTTTGTTTTCAATGCACTGTAAAACATAGTTTTCATCAGTTTCATCCATTGCACGAGGTCTTCCTGTTCCTGACTTTCTCATACCAATCCCTTTCTCCATGACAAGTTTACAATGCTTTCGTTTTACCATATGTTTAAAATTTTTGCTGCCAGACTTGTCGTCAAGCAGTTTGTGAACACTTGTATATTGTTCTGTTAAATCATCAATAATCTCTTGCAGTTCATGCAACTGTACATCATTCCACTTGTTGCATTTTTGAGCCAACTTAAATTTCTCTTTCTGTATGCGTTTGCCAATGTTTGCTGCTTTCCGTTCAAGATTTCCAACAACGAGCTTACGTGCATCATTTTCAGCTGTCTTTTTTTCTTGTATGGTTTCCAATACAGATTGGGTATACTGCTGTATACGAGAACCAATTCCAAGTTCTTGTAACTGATTCCTACTACGAGTGCCACCCAACGCCACCTTCAAAACTTTTTTATCCCATGCGGAATCCATGCTATTCAACATATCTTGTAGCAAATCGCGTGAAATGATTAGTCGACCCTCTTCCGCTTCACTGTTGTCATTAGAGGACATAATGTCTTCAATAAACAGTTCTAGATCCACATCAGATGATCTCAGTAATATGTATTTGCTGCTGACAACATAAACAGATAGTCCGTGCTTTGGGTGGCAGAGTAACTCCTTGAAAACCTTTTGGCAATTTGTATCTGTAATACTTTCTGCAGTAAGACCAGGGCGAAAAGACAAAAATAAAGCAAATGCTTCGTCAAATTGAATGTAAGAGAATCGTACACTTCTGTTTCCAGCGCTTGTGATGCAAGGCAGTTGCTGTAAAATGGCACGCAGTCCTCTTAGGTTATTTCTATGCGCCATGATCTCGGGCGACTCTGCATGTTCATCTATGTCATTGATTTTTTTCGTCAGTAAATCCTCATTCTCATTCAACTTGCAAGTTTGAAGAGAACCTACGACGTTTTTTGTCAGTCGGCAATCTCTTCTAACAGCAGTGCGCACTTTGTTTATCGTGGTAGCCATGTTTATTCATGTAAATACTGTAAATTATGGAAAGCGCTAGAGGGTCGTGTGAAAATGAGGAAAACCTCTGGAGGCTTGCAACGCGGGCGAAGCCCAATTCTACGCCCGCGTTGCCAATATCAGCAGTATTATTTCTGCATTACCCTCTAGCGCCCAAACACAAGTGATCATTCAAAGTTTAAAATTTATCACTTTATAAAATCAAAAATAATATGCTAAAGGAAAAAGAGGCAGCAGAGGAAATTAAGAATTTTCTGGAGAGAAATAACCTCGTACAATATTATGATTCGTTTTTGAATCTTGGTTATGATGATCTGCCACAGCTTCTCGAGATGTCCGCCGAGGATTTGAATGTTGTGATTGCAGAAGTTGGCCTTGTTCATAAGCCAGGTCATAGAAAACGATTTGTCGCTGCCTTGCAAATTTTGAATTCCAAGTCGAAGCATGGAGAGCCAAGCCACTTTGATACTGTTGCCCACTCAGTGAAAGACAAAATTTCCACTGATATATCTACATGTAAGTTTTATATTTTATACATTTCATATTTACGCACATCTTTGTTTCAATAATCTGTTTTGTAGTCAAGAAGAATATCAAGAAGGGCAATATTCATAGATTCCACTGTTAAAGTCATGTATTTTTATACACAATCGAACTTGTTACTTGATGAATAATACTTTTATATGTAAATCCAACGTTCTGTTTCTTCTTTTAAATATACTGTAGGGCCAGCAACAGCTAAGGATCTATGGATCCCAAACCCATTAACACCTCAGTTAGAATTTAATAATGCTGTACTGATTGAACTGTATGAAGCTATCTATGATTTAATCCCTCCAATACAATTTAAGAATGAAGTGCTACAGCAGCGTCATACTCGATGGAAAATCCAACGGACTATTAACGAGTGGGAAAAAAAAGTGAATAATTTACTTGGTGAAGGAGGCAAGGATGGCAATTCTCAGAATATTCAGAGATTCACAACTGATGAATTAGGATCAATTCAAACAGGTGATTGTGCCAAAGCAGAAGCGGCTAAAGACATCATCGATTCAGCTATTTCCAATATTTCAACATATATTGACATCATTATGAAACAACGGTCAACTTTATTTAACAAAGAAAATAAAGTGAAGTCATGGAAAGCTAATGAATTGAAATTTTATGATGATAAAATGGCTGACTCAGAAGCCATGAAATGCAAATTGGAAGAGTGCCAAACAAAGCTAATAACCAACATTGGCACCCTAAAAAGAAAACTTTCACATGTTAATGATGAAGTCGCTGAGAGCAAAAGAAAGCGTAAGCGACTGCAAGAAAACAAGCGAAAAGCAGAAGTGAGAAGAGAGAACCGCTTACAGGCAAAGGTCAGTGAAGTTCTGAAAATAATTACAGATGGGAAAGTTGTATTTGATGATCTTAAATCCCAGAATACCAAAATTGTGAAAGATGATTTATGCCCAAAGAAAGATCTTCACCCAAGGTATCATCTGAAAGCTTTAAGCCACTTGATTGAGAATAAGTGGTTTGATGATGATGCTTTGCCTGTAGCACAAGGTATGTTAGATGCACTAACACACAAACAGGAATTAATCTCAGAAGCAAATCATAAAAGAAAAGAAAAGACTAAGGAAAAGAAAAAGCAGCCTTCTATCCTCAGTATGTTTGCACCTTTACCATCCAGCCATGTAACTCCTCATACGCCCATGGATACATCTGGTGACAATTTAGATATTGAACATATATTAAATATAAACAACTCCTCGCTTTCATCAGAGTCAGATGATAATTGAACAGTTAATCAACATTAGATTTGAATATGAAAGTATATATCTGTTCAGTTGGGGAGAAATATACATTATTTCTGCTCATATATGCTGCCTAGTACATCTATTTAATATCCCATTTGATAATTTGGATAGCTTTGTTTACTTTTATTATTAATATCTTTATTTTTGAAGTAGACATGGGTTTTTGTTTGGTGGCCCATCCCTGGACATACAAAAAATTTGGCGGCCCATCGAAACTGCCCAAATATTTTTCATGGCCCATCCCAAATCACTCCGGCCCACCCTAGCAGTTACTTTATGACCGGTCCCTAATTCTGATTTAATGAAAATTATTGATAAACATATTCCATTAAAACAGCTGAGTAGAAAGGATATTAAACACTGGTCTAAACCATGGATAACACATGGCATTAGGTGTTCATTAAAAATAAAAAATAATTTGTACAAAAAATACATTAAATCTAGGTCAGTATACTATCATCAAAAATTTTAAGTATATCGAAATAAGTTAAGGTTACATTATATGACGAAACTCTGATTTTGTCCAAAATTTTTTTTTATATATTCATATTAAGTAATGATATATCTCTCAATTCCAGCAAATTTTTTAAGAAAATGTTAAAAAGCGACCGAGATATAGGGGGAACTGCTATGACCACTGAATAGCTTCGCGCGAAACTTGTAATTATGATTGAACTTTGCTGGCGTCAAATATCAAGGTGTGAAATTCACTAAAGTATAAGCCGTTTGTTATTGCTCGGAGTCATATATCATTGCGACAACTTTAGAAAGCTTATGATATAGTATTTACAGAATCTCTCGATGTTCAAACCATGCGCGATGTCGGCTTCGTTGACTTTTCTACTGCGTTTGCGTTTTGTAGTCTATAGACTAGAATTGGCTATAAAGATAAATGTGATAAACACCTTGCCAAAAAATATTAAAGTTTGGTTGTTTGTGATTGGTTAACCGCACGAGGTCACAAGTGGATTAACATTGGGGGCGGAGAAAATGACAGAAAGAGTGTAAACCTGGTCAAATCTTAAATCCTCGTTTGAAGAGAAAGCAAAATTACCCAATCTCCTCGACAAAAAAGGGTTTAACGACAGAGCGTTTTATCCGATTCGTCCCAAACTTGGCCACAATGTTAATCAATAATATAAGAACGAAAATGTGTTCGCGTTTTCGATTTAGTGCATTATTTTTTAATTTAGAAGCATCTCTTCAACCGCTTATACCCGCGCAAGATAAGTCAAGTTGTCTGCTTTATATCAAAGCGAATACAACAGCTGTCAAAAAATGCGAACACATTTTTCTTCTTTGGACATTTGAGATGAGAAATATGATATTTTGGGAGCTCCTGAGTTAAACGGTCTGTCGTTAAATCTCGTGGCGCAAGAGGTGCTATTTTTTAAAAGATGTCTCATTGCGACTACAGGTTAAAAGGTGGTGAATTTTGGTTAAAACAGTAGCTTCTACAGTTAGTTATCATCGCGTGTACCAAATTTGAGGAACGTAACTAAAAAATTGAGCACGCAGTGACAATTTTTCTGAAACAGGAATCTATCATATGATGTAACCTTAAATCGTCTGATTAAGATTAGTAAAACAGATTATTACAACAAATATTTTACTTCAAATAAGACAAACTTGAGAAATATATGGCGAGGAATTAGACGGATCATAAATCTTAAGCCAATGGGTGGTGGTGGCTTTCCTTCAAACTCCTTTTCACCACATCCCAGTGTCGTCGTTCAGCACTGAACGATTGCAAGAAATTTAATATCTTCGGTTCAGTGCATGCTATGAAGACAGAAATACCACCATTTGATTCAGAAATAAAAAATTCAACTAATTCCTCCCTATAGTTATAGTCATTATCAAAATTGTAGCGATTTATGGGCCTTTGAAAGTGAAACACGATCATATTGTATCAAATTACGCAATTGTCTGAACAAAAATATTGACTAGCCGTACCTTTCGCCGAAAATAACTTCGGCCCCTTCGAACATATCGTCTTTGTCATAGTCTTGTTAGAATCCCCATTAAAAACACTACTTAGAGTGTTATTTGCAAGTCTGTATCTTGAAATCTGTATCTTTCATCAATATATTTCCATTTCTTGTCCGACTGTGAGCTCGAAGTGAGTTAATCCCAACCGGAAATACGAATGAAAACCGTCAAAACAATGCGAAACTTGTATCGTATGACCCTGGAAAGGCCAGAAATGGATTCGCAAGGTCAAATGACGTCATCCCGGCTACAGGAGCTTCTTATTGGCCAATTATTGCGCAATGTACGCAAGTGCGAGTAAAACCCGCATCTTGAAAAATTCAAAATAAATATTTCTACTCGCCGTATTCAAACGACATTTTGTACACGAAAGCGCTTGAATACAAAGAGTATTTTACACATATAGCCGTTCGGCAAATGACGAAATGTTCAAGAAATATTCAAGATCTTGTGTATATGAAATTTAGAATCTTTGGCCAAGCGGTGAGTAAATATATGATTGTTTCGGTTTGTGTAATGTTCAGACGGCACTTGACCCCCCGTTTGAAAGGTTATTTTGTGAGGATTATAATGGTGGTATTTATTTAAAAGGGGGGGTAAATACTCGCCGAGATATTTATATTAGAAAAATTGTGTCATAATATGATGCGAAAGGGGGTGGTCGAAAAGGAGTTGCTTTAACTGATAGCAAATCTATAGCTAGTGCATTTAATAATTTTTTTGCTAACATAGGAAATGATTTAGCTGCAACCATACCTTCAGTAGATATATCTCCAATGGATTTTATGCCAAAAAATTATCACATAGTTTATTCCTTTACCCAATCACTTCTCAAGAAATTGTGGACGAAAAAAATAACTTAAATTCAACAAAGGCTAACGGACCATTCAGGGTACCAATAGATATTTTAAAATTAATGAAAGATATAATTTCAGAGCCTTTGGAGATATTATTTAATAATTCACTGTCAAATGGTATAGACCCTGACAGTTTTAAAATTGCGAGGATAATTCCTATACATAAAAAGTGGTCAGCCATGAGTCTTGACAATTATCGTCCTATCTCTTTGCTCTCAGTATTTCATAAATTACTTGAAAAGCTAATGTTTAAAAGAATTAGTAATTTTATCAATAAACACAATATATTGCATAGCAAGCAATTTGGATTTCGATCAAAACATTCTACCTTACATGCAATTTTATCAATTACAGACAGAATACAAAGGGCAGTTGAGGATGGTTACTACTCTTGTGGTATATTCCTAGATGTGTCCAAAGCTTTTGATACAGTCAATCCCAACATCCTTCTACAGAAACTGGAATGGGTATATCACATAATTGGTTCAAGTCTTTCTTAGATAACAGAAAACAATTTGTTTCAGTAGGAAGTAATTCATCTGGACTATTAAATGTATCTTGTGGTGTACCTCAAGGTTCAGTTCTTGGACCTCCTCTCTTTTTGCTATATATCAATGATATTCGAAACTCTACTAGTGTTCTTGCTATTCAACTTTTTGCTGATGACTCAAATCTTTTTCATGCTGATAAAAATTTAGTAACATTAGAAACTATTGTCAACAATCACTATTTCGCATGTCCATCGATGGCTATGTGCAAACAAGTTATCTCTTAATGTAGAAAAGTCTAATTATATTATATTTAATCCAGTTCAAAAGAAAGTTAATTATCAAGTGAAAATTTCTCTGAATGGTCAGCCACTTAAACAACAATTTGACGCCTATTATTTAGGAGTCGTGATTGACTGTCACCTGAACTGGAAGGTACATATTTCAATGCTTTCAAAAAAGATAAAACGCAACGTTGGAGCTATATCAAAGATAAGACATTTTGTTAGCAGTGATATTCTTAGGAACCTCCACTACTCATTGATTTATCCATATTTAATATATGGTTTAGTAGTTTGGGGGAACACTTATTGTTCTTCTCTTAATCCTTTATTTCTTTTCAACAGAAAGTTGTTAGATTAATGACTTTTTCTAGTTATTATGAACATACAAACCAGCTTTTTATTAAACTTGAGATTCTAAAGATACATGATCTTGTCATTTATCACAATGCATTATTTATGTATGATTTTCATAGTGATAATTTGCCCGATACATTTCATACATTCTTTCTCCCTGTTAATCATACACATAATTATAATACCAGACTTGCTTCACGATCATCTTCTCTTCCTCGTATAAGAACCTATTATGGAAAATTTAATATCAGATATTCTGGTGCAAAACTATGGAATTGTTTTGTTTTATTGTTTTAACAGCTTTATTGAACGATGTTCAAACGGCAAGAGTGCGAACGGGACTCCAGACCCATGCGAGGCACTCTTCCTCTTAAATTTTGTTTACATCTAATATCATTATTTACAACAAAATTATAAATTGGTAAACATATACCAGCTGATTAATATCAAATTAGGAAGATATTGCACCACATTTAAGTTATCATACATAATACAGATTTGTATAATCATGTTAAAAATTTGAAAGCTGAATCAGGATAAGGCAAAACCTGATACGAGTAGCTGGTATATATTTACATCAGAATTAACTATTTCTATGGCATGAACAGCTACGATACAAAGACCACGTACAGCACATGTCAACATCTAAACTACTACTTAATAAATTGAAGTATGTTCTTGAAAAGAAGGATTTAAACGTTGCCAAACAGCGAAGATTTCTAGGAGAAGCAATTTTGCAAATATGATTCCAAAGTGGAACAATACGGTTAAAGAACGATGTCTGAAAAGTGCTACTTTTACATGACGGAACTTTAAGCACTAAAGAAGGATTATTACAATTACGGGTACGACTATGATTGACAAATGACACAAAATTGAAAGCATCCAAATCATAAAAACCATGCAAAGTTTTAAACATAAATGTCATATCCTTAATTTCCCTGTCAAACGCCAGTGGTAAAAGATTCAGAGCCAGTAATCTGTCCTTGTAGGTCATGTCACCTTTCTTCGATTGAAGAATCCATCTTGTTGCACGCCTTTAGACTTGCTCCAGATATAATTTGTTATTATATTGGGAGGGAGACCAAACCGCTGTGGCATAGCATAATTGCGACTTGATGAGCGAAAGATACAGAGTGCGCCGGATACTGCGGTCTGTTAACAAGGGGCATGTTCTTTTAAGCAAACCCAGCAACCTGTTCGCCTTGATTTTTATTTTGATGATATGGGTTGTCCATGAAAGGTTACTGGTGACTGTGATTCCCAGATCAACTTCATCATTCACACCCTTCAATTCGGATGATCCCAGATAATATTCGAAAAGAAAAGATGTTTTACAGCGGGAGAATGTCAATATTTTACATTTTGAGGGATTAAAGTTGATGTAGTTATCCTTACTCCAAACATCCGCACACGACAAAGCTTCTTGTAACTGTGAACAATCCTCTGGAGTTGAGATTTCTCTATATAATTTGGTATCATCAGCATATAGTCCTGTTGATGTAGATTCAGGAATGACATCAGGAAGATCGTTGATGAAGAGTAAGAAAAGCATTGGACCCAAGATGCTTCCCTGTGGAACGCCAGAAGTGACGGGTGACCATGACGAAGCAGCACCCCCTACAACAACTCGCTGGGTACGGTTATGCAGGTAGTCAGAGAACCATCTGTAAAGGTTTCCTACGATACCGTAATCTTTCAGCTTTCTTAAGAGAATAACATGATCCACTGAGTCGAAGGCTTTAGCGAAGTCAAGAAATAGAATGCCCGTCTGGGTATTTTTGTCAAGCAATTGTCCAATACGATGTAACGTGGAAAGAAGCTGTGTAGTACAATAACGGCCATGAAGAAGTTCATGCTGAGCTTCGTTAATCGAATCTCGGATATGTTCGTAGAAACGATTACAAACGCATCGCTCCAAGACTTTGCTGATGATAGATAGCAGTGAAATTGGACGGTAGTTGATAGCTAGTTCTTTCTTATCTTTCTTATGAATTGGTGAAACATCAGCTGATTTCCATTCAGATGCAGTGGCGAAGCCAGCGGTCATGCAGGTCATGCAGTGCATGACTAAAAATTTCCCCAAAAATGTTTAAAAATCAGTTCAGTATAATTGTTTACAATAGAATTATACTTTATCTTTGCACTTCTACGCCTATAAGTATTTTATTTATTATTTTGTTTACCCAAATCAATGGTCTTTAGGCGATATTTTTGCTAAATATGCTCGTATGTTATTGATTTTGGCTTTGTTACCTTGGCAACTGAGCGGTCCTGCATATTTTCACATGCATGACCGGTTGCGTAAGCGCGTGGAAAACGATTGCGTGTGATTGCTGCGTGGTTTGCTCGCTGTGTGTTTTGGTCATGCATTTTCAGAATTTCATGACCAGCTATATTATTTTATATTAGGTTTGTTGGTTTCTGATTGGCTTACGACGTTCGCGCACGCGCAATGCGGCTGTTTTTGACGCCTTGGTCATGCAATTTTCGATTTGCATGACTAAACGGGCAACACAACCTGTTCACAGCCTCTTAGCTCGAAGCTTTCAGCCTGAATGAACACGTCTTCAGGTCATTCAAGCATGTCGACTTCTTCTTTACTCGAAGCTAACGATATTGTTTGGGAATTGGTGAAAAAACCATTTTTTGCTCAGCAGAATATTATTGTTTATAAGCAGAGACAAACGCCAGATCTTTCGACATGCCTGATCGGGAAGGTTTTCAAATGTCGTGGTTTTCAAAGAAAGAATGGCTTAGCCAGTAGCCCAGTAAGGCTTAGGCTAAATAAGCTATTGCCTATTGGTATTTAGTTATTGTTACATGTATTTTGTCTTGAATATTTAAGCCTTCAACCCGAGCATAGGAGTATAAAGCATCGAGCGCCATATACTATATGAAATACAATGTCAATGTCGAGGTCAATGTAGTAAACAATGTAGTTCTATAAATAGCGCTGCAAAGCTTTAATATACATTTCAATACGCAACACAAACATTTTAGCGATTGTGATTTAGCAACATATTTGATATATACTTGTTTGTGAAACAAACATCCCCGTGCGTTCGAAAATATCCAATATTGGCAATAGCCAATAATCAATATGAATGTAGAATTCGGCTAAACTGACAGTGCTCAACATCTCAAACATCTGATAATGCTTAATTCATTTCTGTATGTAATATTGTAATAATTGGGCGATTGATTTTAAATTAAGGAAATTGATCAAGGCTCATGCGTTATATTTTCCAAGTCTGCATATTATACTATATTCTAGATTGTAAACGTAAAGTTAATTATGGGGTCGCCGTAATTGGGGAACTGTAGCGAACTCCCTGGCGCTATATTATTAGCCAAATCTCCATTAAATCATTAAATCAATTAGCGGAACTGCACACCACAGATTTCCTATTTTTGTGTCGATCTTCATTATTGTTGTCTGAAATATGCCAAAATATCCACATCTTTTCCCGTCAGTAGATAAAGCTTTTTCTGAAATTTGATGCTCAGATTGCTGCAAATGGCGTTTCTGGGGTCTATATTTCAAAAATTTTCCGGGGGGGCATGCCGCCGGATCCCCATAGGATGTCTCATGCCTTCGGCGCTCGTTTGCATGACCACTCACATGACGCTGGCTTCGCCACTGTTCAGATGGAACAGTACCAGTATGTAATGAATGATTATTGAGTGAGCAAAGACTTGGGGCAATGGCATAACTGCATTCCCTCAATACCCGAGCAGGCATACCATCGGGGCCTGCTGACTTAGTTGGATCCAAGTGTACAAGATGATGGGCAACTTCTTCTTCCGAGACAGTTATATCAGACAATTGTTCCACAGGCGACAGTAAGAGAGGTGAATCATCAGTGATAGGTAGAGCTTTAAGTGGTCGAAAAACGGAGCAATAGTATCAATTAAAAAGTTCTGATTTTTGTTTAGGGGTCGTCGCTGTCTCATCGTTGTGCAATATGACAGGATTCAATGCTGAACAGTGGTGGAGTGCCGCTTTATGATAATTCCAAAACAATTTCGGATTTTCTTTAAATGAAATTTCAATTTTGTCTAAATAACATTCTTAACAAATAACATTCTTAACTTGCTGACACAATGCCGGACATTGTTTAGGCGTTTTCTTCAAGCGATATTTACGTAAGGCGGTGTACTTTTTTCGGATTAGATGGCGAACTTCTCCATCGATCCACGGAGGAGAGTTGGTATCCTTAATAATTTTGGTTGGACCATAACTTGACACAACTGATAAAAATAAGTCCTTCCAATGTTTCCAACAATCATCAATGTTGTCCGAAAGAGATACACGATGATCTGTTTGAGACAAGGCTTTACAAAGTTGGGGAAAGTTAGCTCGGTTGCAATCATAAACTGTTCGCCACACAGGTTTTGCTTTTCTAAACTTTGTGCGAATAAAGAATTCAATAGTATAGTGATCAGACGGAAAGTCGTGTTCGTCACAGGAGAGAGTTAGTACGTCTGACAGACTTATTTCCAGCACGGTGGGTTGGGCCATCAACGAACTGATACAGAAAATTCTCGCCGATAAGTTCACAAAGGTTTTCATCATTGGAGCATCCACTAGTGTTAATAGGAGTTGATGGGCTGTCTGACCAGGAGATAGAAGGAATATTAAAGTCACCAACTAGGATTATGCAACATGACTCCGGGTTACTTGCTATGGAGTTGTCTAGAAGACTGAGACCGGCATCAGGAGAGGAGTTAGGAGGATGGTAATACACATAAAGAATTACTGGTTCATTGTTCGCTTTATTGAGTTGAACTGCAGCAAGTTCAATGCCATCTCTTTCGAGGTCACAACGCCGAGTAGCATGTAGGTTTTATTTAATCGCGATTAGAACTCCACCGCCAATTCTCCCCGTCCTGTCCCGACGAAAAATATTGAAACCTGGGAGAAGTTCTGTATCAAGGATTGTATTGTTTAACCAAGTTTCACAAATACAGACAACTTCATATTCACCACCGTGAACCAACTCCTGCAGTAAGGTTATTTTGCAAACTTTATTTGAAGTGTCATTGTCAGCAGGGACAAAAGACTTCAAACTTCGGGCATTTAAGTGAAGGACTTTAAGGTCGTTAGGATTAGTTTTACACGGCTTAGCAGGAATGGGATTGGAAGGACCTAGATTTAGTTGCACGTCGTTTGCCAAGAGGACCAACATTAGTGGTAAAGACGATCTTTGTAGTAAGGCAGATGCATTTCGAACAGTTCGAAGAATAGATAGTGACGTCGAATCTTTTCTCATACGACGGGCTTGAGAATAACAAGAAGAGGTTAGAATGTTTGTAGACGAGTAAAATAATGTCTTACGATCTTCATTTGTGAGACGAATCACACGGAAAATCAACCAAGCAAAAAGGACTGTATAGACTGTTTTGAGAAAGATCATATTTTAAATGTTATAAAACGATGTAAATAATATTCAAGGGTAAACCCCGCACATATTGTACATGTTGGAAAGCGATAATCAAGCAATGATAATATTAATCTCAAATTACGATTGAGGGTTATCTCAAAGTTCAAACAGGTAATTCCAAAGATAAATCAGTTTGTAATTATGTATTTATAACGTTGTTGCCATGACGAACGACGCTAGATGCGAATAATTCAAAAAATTCCAACGGTCAAAATCATAAAAACGCGTATTATTGAAATTGTCTTTATCACAAAAACACCAACATTTGTACGTTAACAGGCACAAAGTACGTTATACAGTACAGAAAATATTAGATGACGAATCCAATGAACAGTGAAGACCAATTAGCCACCAGTAATGACGAATGAGTAAATGCAACACAACAGACAATGACCACGTCCACGGTAATAAAATTCCAAATAAATGCGTAAATTCACAGGGCCCTTGTACTGGCGAATACCTCAAAATATATACCAACAGCGTCACTGACAAGCGCTTTATACTTGATTTGATGCTAACAGGAGCTTTATACTTGATTTTTATACTAACTGCAACACGACAGACACTGAACCACGTCCACGGTAATAAAATTGCAAATAAATGCGTAAATTCACAAGCGAAATCCTCAAACTATATACCAACAGAGTCACAAGAGCTTTATACTTGATTTGATACCGAATTAGTATCGTTTCCAAAGGAAATGAGGTAGAAAATTTTATATAATTTACTGACACAATACCTTACAACCTCACGCGGATACTGATGACTATAATTGATGATGAGACAAAGAAACTAAAACCATCGCAATTTAAAAAGAAATTTTAAAAATATATTATCGAAATATAATGATTGAAATTGGTATTCTTCAATATTAGAATTATATTCTTAAAATATATTCATGGCGATAATTTGCATGATAATTAGATTTCAATTATATATTTAAGATATTTAACCGTCCGATATATTCTCACTATTTGATTTTAATAATAACTACAAGCTAACTGTATCGTCTAACCTTTAATATGGTTATTACAGTTAGCTTGCACCATTGTTTTGTAGAATTACCTTTTGTGAATAATTATTTGTTTTAGTTAATGGTGCTTAATAAATTTTTGATTGATTTATTGATTGAATTGTTGATATAAACTCTCAAATACAAACAGACTGTAATAATAATGGTGATTCCGACGAAAATTTGGCCGGATTTATTGATGATTTGGGAAGGCGTGTGCAAAGTACATCGAGCGAGATTGTCGTACGACAGCTAATCGCACGAGATACTGATGATTTAGCTGGTTTAAGGGATAGAGTATTTCAACCGGTCCGTTGTAAGTGGAGTTGCTGTCCAAAAGGCGAACTTCAGAGGAGAATTACAAGAACTAGGGGAACGTCGGCGTCAGAGAAGCTCGCACAAGATATTGTATTGCTTGTGAAATTTTATGAGAGCGGCAAAGGAAGTCAAGCGCTAAAGGACATATTTCGCAAGGTCAGGAATACGGATTGTAGTTACTCTCTCGGAGATAAGGAAGCGAACGCTTTGGATATGATCAACCTAATCTCAAGAAACTACTCGAAATTGTCGAAGATTTAGAAGCAAAATTTATTGAAACAAATATTCAACATAAAACAGATATTGACAAATTGAAAGACGAACTTAATCATATGCAATTACATTTAGCCGAAAAGGACTAAAAAATATACTCGCTCGAAAAGGAGGTGTCGACGCTGCGAGCTAATTACCGTGCTTCAAAAGAATCTCTAAATTCGAAATGCGAAAGCATCTGCGTCGAGATGGAAAATATTTCTAAAATGGCGATAACAAGTTTATCTGCCGAACAGAGAAAGTCAAAGGAAAATTATAAAATATTAACGAAAAAAAAATTGAATAAATCGGTAGAGTTTGGCATCCCTGAACTTGCACCCCCAGGACTCAATGGAGCTGTTAACAATGGTACTCAGCCACGATCATTCGCCGCTATAGCGAGTGGTAGTAATGAGGACAATGAATGTTATTGATTGTGAACAAAGCCAAGACAAATTAATACAGTTGTAGTTAATGATGATGATAGTAACAAAGGCGATAGCGCAAATGACCTGGGACCGCCGTCGAATAATATCGATTGTCCAAAACAAAGTCAAGTAATTAAAAGTTCAAAAACATTGAAAATCAAAATGAAGCGAGTTTAGTTGACCCAAAGGAGTTTATTGGCGTGGAACGGCGCAACACAAAACGATTGTATCTAGGTGGTGTTAAAGACGGGTTCACGCGAGCACTTTAAAATAATTTATGCAGCGAAAAGGCGTTCAGGCCGACTTTCGTACGAATGATGAAAAGTCGGCGAAGTGGCACCGTTGCTGTGCGTATGAATGTCAGAGTTTCAGATATTAAGGAGATTCTTGAACCAAATTTTTGGCCGAAAAATGTATACCCTTGTAGAATCCGACATATTTATAACCTATTTTATACCTATTTTTTCTCTATTTAGTCCTATTTTTTCCCTATTTTTTCAAAAATATGTCTATTTTATTACTATTTATCAAATTTAATAAAATAGTATATGACTATTTACACTCGATTTAAAATATAGGTTATTTATATTTTTCAAAAAAATAGCTTTGAAATAGATATTCAAATCCTATTTGAAAGAGTAATTGACGGAATCTCACTATAAAATAGCTTTTAAATTGCTATTTAATTCCTATTGATGACAGACGAGTCAGTTAAAATAGTTTTAAATGGCTATTTTTAAACTATTTTTGCTTATCTTCTTTGGAGCCATTCTTAACATAGTTATTAAAAAGCAGAATAAATATATCTTAAATAGCTATTTAATTCCTATTCATAGAAAGTTGTGGCGAACTTTGTTCAAAATAGCTATAAAATAGCTATTTTTAAACAATGTTTGCTTTTATTTTTGGAGATATTATTGCGTATTGTTAAAATAGTTATTAAATAGGAAAATAAATATATCTTAAATAACTATTTAATTCCTATTTATAGAAAGTTGTGGCGAACTTTGTTCCAAATAGCTATTAAATAGCTATTTTTAAACTATGTTTGCTTTTATTTCTTGAATTTTTAGAGCCAATGTTACAATAGTTATTAAATAGCAAAATAAATAGATCTTAAATAGCTATTTAATTCCTATTCATAGAAAGTTGTGGCGAACTTTGTTCAAAATGGCTATTAAATAGCTATTTTTAAACTATGTTTACTTTAATTTTAGAGCTATTGTTAAAATAGCTAATAAATAGCAAAATAATTAGATCTTAAAAAGCTATTTATTTCCTATTCAAATAGAAAGTTGTGAGAATTTAGAAAGGGTAAATGTATTTATTTAACTGGTCAAAATTTCCCAGTTTGAGTTAATTTTAAATTTTTCATCAGTTCATTGAAATTATATTTACAAAAATATTAATAGTCTTTGTGGAGGTAGGTATTTTGTCTCTTGACAAAACACCATTTTTGACAAAACACCAATACCACCAAGAATTCTTACGACGAGCGCGGTTTGACAGACTGGTGCCTAATTTTCTTACAACGCGGGGAATGCTTTCTGGGATAGTGTCACAATTCACAATCACACCGCCATATTTTAGAAATTTTTAGTTTAAACTTTCCGCTCGAAATGGCTCAAATACAGAGCTTTTATTGAGCGAAAGTGATATTTATTTTAAAGATTAAACATCAGGGATGACTGGGTAACGTCCAGGTAAGAATTTTTTTAGATTTTATATATAAATAGAGCAATTTTGAAAGGAAATAATTACTATCTTCATTGGAGAATTTTGAGCACATGTTCCGGCTTAAAATTTCAATTTGCTGCGACAATATTTGAATTAAAACGACATTAGTTTTATGGAAAGGCTTATATTTGACTCAGCCTTTATATTTATAAATGATGTTTATTGTAATGCCAAATAGTATACTTTGATCTTTGTGTATAGTGTATAGTGTATATGACAGATTGCCAGTTTCCAGTGTTTGTTATATAAAATAATATAGCTTGGCATCTACTCAATTCTCATATGCCTACCCAGGCATGTCCCAGCTAAACATGGTTTGAGAAAATTTATCGACTGGTTTCAAATTAACTGGTACTTTCATAAATTTCCAATATTTATTCATATATAGGTGGGTCTGTTTAGAATAGATAAAAATATGAATTTGATGTGTTGTTGTCATATGTGGCAACTTGATTATAGATGTGTCCCTAACTGGAAACAGTTAAAGTCCTTAGTTTGCTTGTTCAAACTTATGAATACATTTAGTTACACCACATGTCTTCATGATCTGCTTAATAATATATGTAACAACCTTTGGGCTACATTTTATATATTTTAGAGACACCCCGGCAAGGGTCTGATTGTTTTCGGAATTACTCATTTCACTCCAATGAGCACAATATTCAGCACTTTGTTATTAAATGTTATGTTGCCTAATGCCGGACAATTTTATTCATCAAGGGAAGTGTCTAGCTAGCGTACTAGGCTTTGCCCATGTTTCATGTTGACATATTTAGATCAATTGAATGCAATTTTTCTAACACTTCCTACTTAAGTACTTTGATATTATTATTTAACTCTGACATGTCATGGTAGACAATTTTACTTACCAACTGTGGCATGCTCGCCCATATCTCACCTAAATATTAACACCTATAAAGGAGCAAATTCCTCTTACCTTACTTACTTGAAGTTCTTTTTAGGGGTGTGCAGGATAGAATGTTTTTGCTATCCAGCTGCATACAGGATATATGTTAGATAGTTGAAAAATATCCAGCTAGATTCAGGGTAGTATTCAAATATATAATTTATTTTTTTTCTAACCTGTAAAGAAGGCCTGAACCTAACTGCAGCCGAGCTTAGCCCTATTCTTGATGTTACATGATGTTCTTCCTTTTTTTCCGCCCAATCCCCCAGCATTTTTTCCGCCCAATCCCCCATATGTATATACTTAACTCTTTGGCTACTATAGAGACTGCTAACTACAGATTTTTAACTCATTTATTGGCAGACCTCAACCTACTGATAAGTCAAATTGTCTGTCATTTATATGGTAAATACTAAAGTAGGTCTGTAATAGCCTCTGATGTTTCAGCACTTCTACACTTGTTTTCAATTTCTTTTACTAATTATATTTTATTTAAAGACTATTTACATTACATTTTAATAATTTTTAACAATATTGTAGAATTTTACAGCATAACATCTAATAATACAAAAGAAGAAGTTAATTTCGGAACATTTTACATTTAAAACTCATTGCAGTTAAAAGATCTAAAAATAGTTCTTGATAATTCATAATTTGGAACGTAATTCATAAAATGTACAAGTCCAGCGTTAACGCCTTTAAATTGCGCAATTGCTTAAAAAACCTCTGCTGTAACAGAGTTTAATTTGAACTCGTCTATATGTTCATCTTTCGCACGAAATGGCGATCTAGATCCTCTCGTGCACAAATGCACTGATTTCAATATTTCGAAAGACAATCTTGTTCTGATCCAGGTAATAACTGTTGCGTAATCTTCTCCGTTTTTCCTCGACAATTTCTCGGCAAGATGCTTTAAGAATTTCTGGCATTCGTCTCCAACTCCTCCATTCGTTCCAAAGACTAAAGGCATAAATGTTCCCATTTCCACGTCTAAGATTCTCTGTTGGTACTTTCTTTTCTTCTCGGCTTCTTGTTCCTTAAAGATATCAGATGTGGCTTTGTTTTGATGACATTGGGAGTTTACATGCGATACACGGACGTCAAAAAATGATGTAACTCCTCTTGCCCAAAACTCGCCAGCTTTGATATCCAATCGCGCATCCGGGCTTCTGTTGGTGGACTGTAAACGGAATTGTTCATTGTCCAATGGCATGATTTTCGGTTCGGCTTCCACGTTGTTGCATACTCTGCTGAGCAGCGTGGTCAGTAAATCACGAACACCGTCATGCCTTCGGGCCACAAAACCTCCTCTTTTACACGATAATGCGTGGTTGACGGAAAATGCAGACCCA